AGCTATGCGGATGTTGTCACATGAAGACATTTTTTGAATAAATTTATATTCGATAGAGTTTCAAAATTCTCAAATTCATAAAAAACCCATATACTAAACAACCAGATAGGTTAATTATCAATCTTGTCGTGTCCGGAATAAACGCGAGCATAAATAATTCATGAAATATGAATAATTTCCAGTAGTTTGATAGTTCGGGTTCAGCGAAATGAAAAAGTGTAGTAATATGACACTAACTTCATAAAATACTGGGCAGAGAATAGAGTTCTATATATTCATTATATTTATAAAACAGTAGCGACCCGTCAAAGGCGTCCCTCCGACTGATCAATACTTTATTTTAAATTTTAAAAATGAAACACTAACTTTGACAATTAATATCGACACTTTCAACAACGGCTGACCCGAATGAAACAATACAGATACATACTGCTAAGGGGTCCGACACTAGTTGTCCCTTCCGCCGGAGGTCGAACCTGCGCCAACTGGCTCGCTGTCAAACGCTCTGAACCTCCCGGGCGAACGGAGCAGTTTATTTAAATTTTATTGATAATTCGAGCACAGGATACATCATACCGTTATCAGACTATCATAAACTGTTATTAAAGATATAATCATCGAAAAAATGAGATTGTGATGTTTTTCATGTATAATATGAGACGGTATGAATGATTTATCATACCGTAAAGGGTGTAATTATTTAGAAGACAATTCTGACCTTTTTTCCCTCCAAACATTTAACCGATTCTTTTAATTTTTCATAAGCGAAAGTCTGGCCTTTTGTATTGGATGAAATAAAATTGGCGTCCTATTTTTGTGACGCAGAGCCAGTACACCTTGCACAACAATAAACTTTTATTAATACGAGTACTGTTTATGACACGACAATAATAGGAGCTATCTAACCGCTCAATTTCTACTGTTATAGATCACATGGTTTTGTGATGTAGGGATTGACCGCAGCTTAATTATCTTATAATAGCATGTAAAAAATGGTATCACGAAAGTAAATGTCGGTCTGAATTACATTTTGTAAATAGTAATAATGGCGGCAAAGCTTTAGATCAACACCCATGATTTCATACTGTACAAGGGCGATATTGTAAATTTTAGTACATATGTATGTCTTTCATGGGGCTATGAATTAGGGCTTTTATGAGGCTTAGCAATGTAATCAATATCCACTTTCTATAGTAGTTTGAATATTTCTGTTATCAAATTATCTTATCGGATTTTTTGTACTTGTTGTGTCTGAACATTAGGATATTTATCTTTTTGAAAGCGCCACTCCATATATTTCTAAGCTGTCAAGATAAGGATTGGGGTTTTAGCGTTGTGTATAGCTGATACCTGACCCGTTGAAAATACATCAATGATTGTTGTATCGGATCTGTGTGAATGAATGCCAATGTCACTAAGCTATCTGAACTGAAAGCTAGGGGAACCCTTCATGTTGGTTATAGCCCACTAGGACACTTCCCTGGACCCGTTATTAGTAATATATACATATTGGGTAATGTTACCTGCATGAATGATTCTCCCATGGCGAACAGAATCGGTAAGTACACATTGTGTTTTAATCAGGTGTAATTCGATTTTCGAAGGGTGAGTAGATGTTTGTAGCAGGCAGCGAACTGGTATTGATCATGTCGTGAACAATTTAATTATCCTTGACAAAACCGCTGGGAGGTGATATTAGTATCTAAGGTGAGATAATTCCATATGTTAAAATGAGCAAACAAATCTATCCAGATGCTTTGTCTAGGTGTGGAAAACAAAAACAAACAAAGAATCGTTTCAGATATCTATGTTTAGCTTGCATTATGACTATGATCATAGCCTTACTATATTAAGCTGAAGGAAAAATTGAAAATACATTTTTTAACAAAGTTTTGTTTTTGTTTATCATAAATTAGAAAAACCACAATAGCATAAAAACGGTTTTGTATTTCGAGACAATATCATTGCTTCAATACGCTTGATAATCTTTAAAATACCATTCCAATATAATTGCGTTAAAGTATACCAGGAACATGCGAATCGTTTGCGTGGATACAGGACGAGGTCGTCACGTTTTCAAAAGATGTCTTAGGACTTATACAAACAAAAAACAACAGTATATGAAGTTTTACCTAATAGAATAAACCGCACAGTGTTACACTAACAAATACAAGCTGTTCGTCATTTTACAGGTTTGACGATAACTGCTTGGTGTCATGTTGAGTGCAAAACACTTTTTATTGTTCGAACTCTTATCGATTGAATTTGACTTTTGCTTCATGTTTATGAAAAGTTTAGAGTTCTTTGATATTAGAAAAGTATAGATAACGCCTTACATCTTTTAGATATTGAAATAATGACGGAAATCCTTGGAAGCCCATTTTTAATATCTGGTATAATTCAATAGTTTCCCCCTAGTAAAGCACCGATAAACTTTCATGCATTTCCTTATTGCTTTTCTTTAATTAAAAAAACCGTCACATTGATTCCCTTATACATAGACGTGATTCTAAAATAAATATGACATGAGTATTCTTAAAAATAAACAAATAAACCTATTTTTATCATCTCAAAGATTGATATGCAGATTTGCGGATCATGTACATGAATTTAAGCTTACCAATTAATATGGGTTTATCAATATTCAACTTTAATGGAACAGCTGATGTTAAAGCTTACTTAAATTATTTTATCTTATATCTTATTATAACGAGTGAACTTTTGGTCATGTAGTTAAAACAAGATCTTTATTGATAGATGTTTATACTTTTACTCGCTAGCAAAACGTCTTACCGGGTTCAACGTTTTATTTGAAATGTTATCGGCAGCTTTTCTACCCATTCATGCAAACCCTATATCAAATTCCATTTTAAGTGGATGGGCTTTATTTATTTAGTACACACAATGTCTTGATTGATGAGTTAGAGAGTGATGTCGATCAATATGTCTTTGAAATAAGGAATTTCCATATGTAAATAAACTGATAAAACCAAAGATTAACCAGGTGTATAAACAGACAAACTTGGCAAATATAACTCTACCTTTCTACATATACTGGGCGAGGTACGTTATTCATATTTGTATACATGTATATACACTTTGACATGTTCGTCAATCTAAAAGAGTGCATGGTGATATGTTTCCACATCCTCGTGTATTATCTACCATGACAGGTACTGTTTTCAGAATAAGAATATTCGAGCATATGTGCTCTTGTCGGATATGTTTATGGAAATGGTATTTTCAGAGGTAGCACTTTAAAGTCGGCATCAGATCGGTGCTATCGCAAGGAGGCAAATACATCAACTACCGTGCTGATACTTATACAAGTAATTTGAACACATCAGATTTGGCAAATAATGTAATTTTGCACACGATAAAAACATGTTTTCAGTGTGTCATACAGAACACTTATGACCTTACGTTGTAATATAATCAATGATAACGTCACAAAATGATTTGATGACGTCATAATAAAAACATACGATATTGAATCAAGATTGACTGAGGTTTAGACTTTACGGATGCCTAAGAATAGTAGCAGATACATATTCTGGCACCCTTTACTCGAGTCACTAGTTTTGAAAGTGCTTTCTATTGTGATCAAATGTTGCAAATACGAAAATTTTAGGTTAAAGCATTGTTTTGGCACCTAACCTCATCTGCTGTGTTTATATATACACTTCAGACAGTATTGACCTTAGTGCCACATATGATTCTTCAATGATCAAATGACTATAGTTTACTTGGCTTTCAGCATCGACAACCTAAAATCATAAATAGTACATAATGTTTTAGAATTTCAAGTAACATTTTTTTCTATTTTAAGTATTTGCTATGAACTAAGAATAAATATAAACTTTCAGCGACATTAGAATACTATTGCTTATTGGTTTTAAACTAAATAAGGACTATCTTTTATGCATTTTGCATGCATTTACATCATGAAAGAGGGCGTGAACTAAGATTTAACTGTGGTCCGATGTAATCTTCGGTAGTTTTTAAACCAATAAAAAGGTTGTTCCATACTTTGAAGAAATAAAGAAAAAATAAATTATATTTTTCGAATTTACATTTAAATAGATGATTCTGAAACAGCTTGTTAGTACTTTCCTAGCTTTAAGATATCTCATCTCACAAACAAAGACGTGGACATTGGTCCTTCATATTTATCTTTTTAAAATCTGTTCTAAATAAGAGTAAACTTTTTAATTGGTTATTGCTTGTCTTGTCACCTTGTTTTGTAAACAAAAGCATCAACAGACAAAGACGTACGTTTTGTTCCGTGAAAATATTGGTTGTGTGTTACGTCTGCCATTACAACAGGTGGTTTAAATACCCCAGTGAGACACACATACACTAATAGTGCATTTGTCATCTGATACATCAAATAGAAATAATAATATAGACACTAATGGGAACAGAGCCATATTTGATTCGTCCTTTTACACGTTAAAACAATACAATCTACATTAAAGATCTGAGAATAAATTACGTGACAATATTCTAGGGTTATCGTTAAAATCACATGTTTGATACATTACAGCCGTTATGTAAAGGGATACCACATGTCTCGGGGGCTACCCATTCATACATATGCTCCAATGCCCACCCAGCTGAACGTTGTCTATGATTCTCTCCGGGTGTACGTAACGGGATCCGTCACGCTGTGTGATTCTATTCAAACAAATGTTAACCGATTTCAGGGGATTTGCCTCATAAAGAATATAGAATCATTCCATGCTATCATATTCACCGAACAGGTTCTTCTCGAGATATGTAATCCGTCATTTTGCTACAATTGTGGTTAATCAAGCGATTACTAAGACCCAACGCTCCTTATCGCTGCCATCTCAACCCTCTGTTTGATTGTCCGTAAACGAGACATTGTGTCATGACGAGTTAAATTTTGATCGAATAAAGGATTCCTTCGTAGTGGCGCTTACTAATTACAACGTTTAATATATACCTGATATTAAATGCCTTACCTACCCGTGTGTATATGTGCTCCTAGCCACGTATAGGGAGGTATAGGTGGTAGTAGATATACACTCACCTGCTCACAGGTACCGCGTGGATTATTTCTTATTACGTGCTTCGCTTCTCTCTCCTTGGGCTGGACATTTAAATTCAAAATATTTTACTTAGTAGCACACAAAATCAGGCGCGGAGAAAGACAAGCATTGATATGGATTCCATTTCTTTAAAAGGATATTAATTCTGTTATGAAGGTAAATATATTCACATATTTTCAATCACTTATATGTGTGTGATGCATGCTTTTCTGTTGTATTGAACAAGCTTTTAAAAAAAATCAATTTGTGTTATGCATGATGTCATATTGAAATGGATCAACTGCCTTTTAACAATTACTAATATTTAAAGACTTTAAACCCTGTATCAAGTTTTGTAACTATAATAACATTTATATCGTTTTTTAATGTATCATGTTCAATTTTGCAAGAAACTGTTTCAAATATAAAAAGGACATTTGTTTAGTGATGAATGGCTGATCGCAAGCGAGATCTCATAACACCAATTTTTGTCGTACAAATAGATACCGATTATAGAGTTAACATTCAAGATATCCTTTTTATTATCACTTTGAGTCTAGTAATCAATATATCACCTCGATCTTAATTTATGTAAATTCACACCTACGTATCTAAATAATGTATCTAATCTACCTTTAAACTCAACTCGTGAATACGAGACATCAAAGAGAGGTACCATCTCGTGGAAGGAAATGAGCAAATACTACACGTTATTTGTGAGATGTTATATAGTGTTGATAAAAAGTGGTAAATAATTTAGGATAATGTTTATGTATATACATTATAAAGAAAAACCATGAATTAGTCATCTAGCGTTATAGCTCACCGAGACATTATGTTGATAATTGTCTCTTTAAATGTCTAGCGTATAAAACTTTCCAGATTATGTGTTCGTCCCTATTCATGTCTTAATTGAATGTTTAGGTAGCAATATTGGTATCACACTATGCAATTACCATTTATGTGAAATGATGCCTGACCTGACTTATTAGGATTTAGGCCAAAGTTTCGTGATGTGATTACTTTTGCATTGAATTTTAATGCAAGGCAATTGTGCAAAAATTAATTTTTTCTGATGTTGAGGGCGTTCAATCTACTAAGATCCAATTTTTCACCGTCTCAGATGTGTGGATATCCCAGTAATAGCATAATCAGTTTCATAGTTAATGATATTGATATAAGCTTTGAAAAATTATAAAAAAAATATGGTTGAACATTCTCGATTTTGTCAGCACTGAGTTTCGTGTATATCTTTGTAGAAGATGATCTGAATGTAATTCAGAATTCACGATATATTTTACATTCGTTGACCATTAAAATGGATCTGGAATAGAGAGCTTGGTATAATTAAGTTCCAATTGATGTGAAAAATGTTTGCGAAATAAATGATCTAACTTGATCTAAGTTGATCAATATATTGGTTCGTGATGTCCTCCTGATGGTGTTGGTATACATTTAACCATGTTATTTCGAGCGCTTTCGATAATATGAATATACGTTTAATGATTTGATCTGAGTATTGTTTAACCAATACACTGACTAGCGTTTCCAACCTACAATATCACGTTACCGACATGTTGCCTGTGTGACGTGCTCAGCTCCTTATTGTTCAACTGGCATCTTATTGGCAAAGTCCACACTTATCACCTATTATTAGCTTATGATAGCCAGGTTATGTACAAACAATTGTCAATTTAACGTCACGCCTCCTGACAATGCCCAACTGTGTACCAGTTCGGGTACTATACACATAGGTCTCCTTGAGGTCATCACTAAAAACGTGCCTCATTCATCCAGATAATTGAAAATCTGACATAAAACAAATCTTCAGAAAGAAAAAAAAATGTCATCTGGTAAAATTGCATATGATTCAATACATTAGAAGAGATTTAATTAAACACATTTTATTATAGTGCGAGATGCTTAGACATAGCAAGCATTTCTTTTTATATTTGATTGAAGGGTAGTGCCTTTTAATACTATACAGTTTGTATGTGGTTTCAATACAGATGCTTACCCAAAGGTATTGCGAGAAATCGGTAATTGTTTTCAAATCCCTTGATTCGACAGACGCATATGTTTAAATATTAAGTAGTGTAGAATAGTCGGCAAGAAATGCCACCCTTGCTTCAGGGGGGTAACCTTTGTCTAATCCGTAATTGACACGAACGCATCACAGTGTCCCACGTGCTCTCACTCTAACACATGATATGTATTTTGAACTCTCGGAATGACGTTTAAAGAATTATCATCGATATTAGTTTTGAAGGACCGTTTGGCCCTGTGGTTTGTTTATGTCACTGCAAAGTCACGATTCATAATCCAGCTCAAGCAAAGCTTGTAAGAAGTCGATTGTTCAACACATAAACCATAACAAGGTCATGTTTGACCACTTATATGCCCAAATGGACAATCAATTTGCTAAATAATTATTGTTTGTGCCAGAAAACGGATCTATACTGATAGTATTCACATCGCAGTGTTGCACTTTCTGAACTGGTTGTAGGACTGACAGCTACACGTATTTCATTCATTAAGGTAAGTCACTAATCTGCCCCTGAGATTTTGATCAGAATACATATGCTTTCGCAAATCGTGTGGTCTGTGCTGTGTTAAGTAAAACTCACTGATAGTTTCATAATTATTTATGTTAAACTACAACGTATGTGATTTGACATCGAAAATTATCACTCCAATGTCGCCATGCTTCCATTATAATGTAATAGTTAGAGAAGATATAACTAAATACTAAATGTCTAAGGTGTTGACATAAACTTGATTGAAGCTTACATGATGTGTTTAGGTTAAACATGTAGCAACAGTGTTTAGACTTAAACATTTGCTGACTTAGATTATCATCTCCGAGTGTTTAATATTTAATTGGCATTAGTTTTCGTATTGAAGCTGACATGTCGTGTTGACGCAGTCTTATGTACATTTTGAGTATGCATTTGTCCTTTTGTGTTGTTATTGTGTTATATACATTTTGAGTTAACATCTTTTTCTTGTTTGTTGACGTCCTTGTATATACATTTTTACCTATTGTCCTGGTATTAACGATTTGATACTTACATTTTGAGCTTGTGTGTTATCGTGTCATTATTGTCACTATGATTCACGTTTATGTTTATTTAGTTAGTTAGTGTTGTTGTTGTTGATGAAATGTTAAAAAAACCTGTGATCAAATGTCACCTTCCATGCAGACACTACAATATTTGAAACAGTTTCATATCTAGCAATGAACTTGACACACAATTAACGGTCTACCTCCATCCGTTTTAATTCTGAGAGAAGAAAAAGTGTAAAAACACTAGCAGAGGAAATACCTTATGTTAAGATTTTACTAATTGCTTACTGAAAATATGTAGTACCATGTTTACATTGGATAATATTCAAGCTCAAAACCGATTCAAAATATTACAAGAGACCCAACAGAAATAAAAAGACATCGTGAAACCAAAAAATACAAAACCCCAAAGGTATAGCCATATGTCCCCTGTCAAATTTGGGACAGTATTGGTCGTCGACAATCAAAGACGGAGTGAACAGTTTTTAATCAAAATGATCTGCAGTAAATATAACTTAACTTAAACAATCTACAGCCAATTTGCATGCATCTTAACATGGACTTTTAAGACTACATTATGTCATAAGTTATCAAATGTACATAGTATGACATTATATCTAATCTACATACGTTGGTTTGAGATATTACTTTAAATTGGCATTTCTAAGTAGCAGTCAGAAATTAATTCAAGATAGTATCTACCGAAAAAAAAGTATGGGACAAAGTTTTTGTGATTTTCTTTTCGAAAGAAACCAGACAATCATGCCTTTGTATCACATATCGTAAGTATCGATAGATAGTCGTTGGCTTAACAAGAAATGCTTTTTAATTCAAATCGACTAATGTAAGTGTCGTTTTTAAAACGGAAATGAACATAGCTCATATTTAAATAGAACGAAGTCTTTGATTTTGCAATCCATATGTCTTTTAATTGTTAAATATAAAACCATAATTTGGATAAATTTGCCACATAATACCGTACCGTTGGCTATAGTTTCTGTTTTACAAAGCTTTGCTTTAGCTACTAATTCATGTTTGATATGTCGGGCACAGGTAATAAACAGCAGTTTTCCTATGGGAATTTATATCTGAACTATTTCCTTGATGTATTTTTATTCACAAACCATTCAAAAGCACGGTCACGAAGACCAATTTCCATATATATGTCCACTGATCCGATTCACTATATAACAGGTTTTAATAAAGTCTACTGAGTAAGAAATGTTCCATGTGAAATACGTTTTAATTTGAAAATCAATTCAGGTGCATGATATTATATCTATTGACACAGGAACCTAATGACAAGTGAGCACACAGACCCTGCTGAGAACAGTTCAGATGAGACACTCTATATTTGTACACAATAACTGTGTTCTCTTACCATGATATACTGTTAACTGGCCATTATTAAGGACTGAATCTTGGTATAAACCTCAATGGGTTTTGAGAAAACTTTTATGAACTCTGAAGCAGTTTATATAAATTTTGTCTTAAGGCCTTTTTATTTTATCAATGTTTATTTTTTGCAATTTTGATAATTTATTGAGAATATAAAAGATATCGGACTTGTGCAAGTCTGATAACATTGAAGGTTCAGAAGCGTGTGACGTCATCTGCTAGACGTCGCCCGATTAAGACAAATAACTGTAACGTGTTCTGACAACATTTAAACAATATATCATATAAAAACATGCTTATTTCAATTATAAACGTCTAAAACTTATTTTGAAAACAATCTATTAATTGGGCTACTTTTCTTACTTCTTTCCTGACGTATTCATGCACCAATTGGAAAGTTGATGGAAATATAGAGTCCATGCTCAGTAAAAATGTAAGCATATATCAGTGTGTGACTATGTCGATTACCTAACTGATGCACGCCCTTAACATGGGCGGAGATGTGAGGTCTATGACGTCACACATAGCTTGACATGTGTGATCAAACCTTTCAAATTACAAACACGTGACTTAATATAAGGTTCTAATTATTCCGAAGAAGTCAAGTTGAAAAAAAATGGACAGTAAACTGTTATATCAGATTTTGACGTTTTCATCGTTTACCGAATATTTATTTTTTCATACATAAACGTCAATTGATAATTTTTTTCAT